GTCTGGTTCAGATCAAATCTCTGCCCTGAATTAAGGGAAGCTGCTGTTTCTTAAGGTTTGTCCATACTTCTGCTTGTCCCGTGCTTTCTGGGTATGGGTCCGAATTGTTTTCTGTTCGCCCCACTGTTTTCCCCAGGAAAACCCACCCTTTAGCACTGAATCGGAGCAAATGTCAATCTATGGAAAATCCATCAGAAGTTTGCTTTGATCAGGCTTTCCTGGGGGGCTGGTTTCACTGGAACCAACTGTCATTGAAACTTTTAAATATGCTTTCACCTTACATTTCTGTGGCATATTTTGACTGCAACCTTCAACACCCTCAGTTGCAATTGCCATCTTCATGTGCCCCCTCCAGAGGCTGGCAACCTGAGAACAGGCCTTTTCTGCAGTAGCTCCTCACTTGTGGGATGCTCTCTCCAGGGAGGCTCGCCAGGCACCTTTGTTATATTTCTTTAGGCACCAGGTGAAAACCTTTCCTCTTCACCCAGGCCTTTGGCCTTTTAAACTATGGGGGCCGTGTTATTGTTTTGTCTGTGTTATGTATTTATATATATATATATACTGTAAACTGCCCTGTGATCCTCGATTGAAGAATGGTATAGAAATTTAATAAATAAAAATAAATAAAGTGTAGTAGTCGTAGTAGTAGGGCATATGACCCACTGAGTTTTCTTAAGAGTAAATGCACTTAGGATTCTAGGGTTAGACGTTGCTGTGTGCCTAGGCTACTCAAGTGCCTGACATAGCACTGGAACAGGGCCTGCATAAAAGACCACATGCCTCCTTCTGTGTAAAGGGATTTCCACATGTTCAGCAATTTGAGAAACCTCTGAGCACTTTGAAAAACATTTCATTTCATGACGTTCACTAAGGGAGAGGAATTTCAAAAAGACTTACTAAATGAGAACTGACTTTTCAAAGGGAGTTTGCATTCTGAAATGTACCCTATTGCATAGTGTTGGTGGGGAGAATTCCTCGTTCCGCCTTGCATGTCTTTGAAGGTTCAACTTCTAATGCCAATCGCTTACATACTCTTTATCCTGGTTTTTGAACAGCTATTTTATACGTTCCTGTTTTTTTATTATTATTATTTGAACAAAGGGCGCCACAGGTGTCAGAATAAATGACAGCCAAGATGCATAAACTTTATTGTTATTATTACCCTTGTGATGAGCAAGTGTCCCATGTGGCTGTCTATTGGCTATTCAAATGGAAAACAAAAGCCTGTTTATCAGCTGGCTAATTATACTAAAATATGAAATAAGACTCCCAAAGGGACAGCTTCCTCCCATTTCTGTTTCCCCTCCCAAGCATAAACCTCCTCATGAACCAGACACTTCCCCAGTGTTCAAATGTTTATCACAGAGAACCACACCTGACTGTTGACCTTTCCTTTTTAGAGAGCTCTCTGATTGTCTCCTCCACAACCCCGGTGAAAAAGGAAGCACATTTCTTAGCATTTTCAAACTTCTCTTTATCTCCCTTTCTCACTTCAGGTATGAACAGTGAACTAAAATAAACCCAGTGGTGTCTGACATATTTCTTAAACATAATCTGGTGAAAACAATATTGCGAGATGGTATCTTTCTGCCATGTTACCAGCATCCTCCATATGATGACAGCAATGTATAGACAAGCCTTTTAAGCTATTCAAGAGATTTGTAAAGGGGTGCAATACTTTTAATTTTTCAATATTCCATAATTGGAGTATTAATAACAAGGCGCTTCCTCCGAAACACTTGATGGTGGCAAAAGATAACAAAGAGATATACTGGTATAAACAGCCATTGGCACAAACCCACTTCCTCAATAGCAATATTACATTTTTCAAGGACTGAAATCTGTAGCACCGTCTTCCTACAATTGTTTAGCACTCCATTTACCTGACACCGAAACTGAAGAGGATATCCTTCAGAAACAGAACTCCCACAAATGTTCAGTTTCAGTGGATTCCTTCATTTGAATTTTACAGATTCAGTAGACTCGAGTCTCAACATACTTGCTGCCAGATAAATATAGCTAAAGGCAGGAAAATGAGTTACAATCCTAATCTCAGTTTCACAAACCAGATTCTGGCCAGGGGAATCATTTCCTTTGATTCAGCTGTTTGCCCTGTTGTGCTCCAGTTGGATTCACCTTGAGGGAAAGCAACAGGGACCCTGCAGAAATCCTACCCCAAAATACATTTTCTCTCCATCCGGAGATTTTGTGATGGAAGAGAAGCTTGTGAACTTTTCTGGGGAGGAGAGGGAGAAAATGAGCAAAGAAATACAAGACAACCTAGGTACAAATAAAATATGGAAGTGGAATGCTATTCACCACATGTCTAAATATAATTAAATTTGAGATAAAAATTGTATTGGTAGCTGATAACCACCTTTTTTACTTCTAAGGCAGTGATGGGAAACCTGTGGCCTTCTAGATGGTGCTAGACTGCAACTCTCATCATCCCTGATCCCTGACCAGATCAGGGGCAGATCAGACTTGGAGCCCAACATCTAGAGGACCATAGATTCCACATCCCTGCTGTAAGCCACAGTTGAAAAATGAAAACCTACAAGTGTCTTCATGCCTGCTCATCTCACACACAGGTTCCCTCCATCTGTGCTATTCCATTGCTAAGCTACATACCTAAAACGATTGTCAGCTGGTTGCAAGAAGTCCAGATGATCTCTAGACTGCTAAGTCATGACTTTGTACAGATTTTTGTATTGTCCACAGGGTCACGGTTGCTTGTTTGCCCTAGCATGCCTCTGGGTAATCCAGGATCTTATCAAACAACAAAGTTAGAACCTAATTAAATCTGCAACAAAGTCTTCAGTAATTCCCTTTGAAAGACCCAACCAAGTTTCAGATAGGAAAAAATAATGAGTGGAACTGTGCACTTGTTGAGGAACATTTAAAAATATAAACATTTTTTCTAGAACATTTAACCTGAAGGCAGCCCTGTTTAGAGAAGTTTTTAATGTTTGATGTTTTATTGTGTTTTTAATATTCTGTTGGGAGCTGCCCAGAGTGGCTGGGGAGGCCCAGCCAGATGGGGGGGGGGGTATAAGTGATAAATTATTATTATTATTATTATTATTATTATTATTATTATTATTATTATTATTGCAGAAACTCACATTCTTTCTGGTAAACAAAGTTTATTCCTAAAGTGGTAGGATCCTGAAAGAACTATACCTCCCACCCCAATGTTTGCAAGATAATGTCCAATTCAGTTATGTAGGGTTAGTGAGAAGCCTCAGAGGTCTAGGAAGTGCCCTGCATGAAATGTTTGTCTCTTTGGATAGGATGCATCCCAGAACCCTCTGCAGGAAGAATGTCAAATGTGCTAAGATCCCTCTGCAGCAGAGGTGGGGGAGCTTTCCAGGAGCCACATTCTAGTGGTGAGCAAAGCATAAGGCCAAGGTGGCCAATGTGTGTGACTCTTCCCAGCCACATGAAAGTCAGGCGTTTCTATACATGCATGTGACATGTCATTCTCCATCAATGCAAGCAAGAGGAATCAGTACAGCTCAAGGACATATTCCAGCAGAGGAAAGTACTTGAGGGCAGTGCCCCTGAGAGGTATGGCTTAGGGAAAGGGCATAGCTAGCATCCCAAGCGCTTGATAGAGAGCCCTGGAGGACTGTTTCTGGCCTAAGGTTCTACACACACCTCAGCACAGAAAGGATTGACTGAAGGTAAAAAGCGTGAATCACTTCTCTATCTTACAGCTATGTATTTGGAAAGCTTTAAATAATAAAAAAAAGCAGTCCTCTGTGGAATCGTTCCTTCCCTTCCTTCCTTCCTTCCTTCCTTCCTTTCTTTCTTTCTTTCTTTCTTTCTTTCTTTCTTTCTTCCCAATTTGAGTCACACAACTCAAATGGATTATTTGTGTGTGTGTTTTGTGGTAATAATTTTTATTAAAGATTTCTTGGTTTATAAAAGTATGTGCAATGTCTCTTTTTTCAAGTTACATTTTCTACAGGTCAGTTTCATTTGTTGAGACATTAGGGTTACATTAGGAAGAAAAAGGGGGGAAGAGGTGGAGGGGGTCATGTGGGTGGGGGTGGGGGTGGGGTCGGGTGGCGATGTTTCTATTTTACTTAATGTATGTGTGGGGTTTTGCGTCAGCGTCGCTTGTGCAGGTTCTCTTTACTATTCGCTTGTGTTCGATTGGTGGTGAGAGAGGTTGGGGTTGGCCTAGGGTGTGGTTGCTTGTTTGTGATTGGCTGTGGTGAACTTTGTTTTCGTGTGTGAGTGGGGTGGGTGGGTGTTTTTGTATCAGGTTAGCCATATTGATTCGTATGCTGTTGGTGGATTCTTGTCATTGTCTTGTTGGGCTGTGTATGTGATAAAGGGGAGCCATACCAGGATGAAGGTGTCTTCTTCTATTTGTCCCCATGTCAGTTTCAGTTTATTGGTTAATTTTTCTAGTAGAGCTGTTTCCCTTACTACTAAGAGCGAGGTATCAGCAGGCAAGATTCTGCAGAAGTTAAAAAAACAAAACGCTAAGGGGAAATAAATAATAATAATAATAATAATAATAATAATAGCCTGATGAGAGCTGAGCATGTTTAGTGGCCCTGGAATACTGACTGACTATTGTGGGAGGAAACTGGCAGGAGGCTGGGTTGGAATGGAGTATCCTGAAGAAGGACATGGCTGGCTGGCTGACTGGTTGAAACCGTGAACAGGAGCTTTCCGCACGGTAGCGTTTTATTGCAGGTCCCATTTGTAGATATTATTTCTCATCCCTGAAAGCCTTTTTTTTGTCCTTTTGGGGGGGGGATTAGCCTGCATCTATACACTTCTTTTCTTTTTCTTGTTGCCTGCCACTTCCACTCCCCCTCTCATTCCATCATTCCTCTCTAAAGATTCATAATATTCGGCAACACCTGCTGGGGCGGTTACAGCAGTTTGAGCTTTTGCCGTTAACTATGCCCTGCTCGGGTTTAAAGAGCTGCCGTTTGCCTGCGCCGGTCCTTCTCACTGACCAGCCTTTGGCTATATCCATACCTTGAGGGAAATACACAGTCCACAGAGCAGCCCTCAAATCTACCAAGACACAAGAGTCCCGTTTCCCATTGTTAGGAACCGGTGATGCCGAGAATAGCTGCAAAAGCCTTTCCAGTACAGATGGTCAGCAGACTTAAGTGAGCTTGAGCAAGGGCCAGATCCGCTTTAATTACTCAACGGCCACTGTTCAATTCATGGCAGGGAGATTTAACTTTTAGCACACAAAACATGTCAGTAAATACCTGCCAATGCAGAATGCATTATTTAAATAACCTCCTTTCTTTTTCAACCTTTCTCTGGAAAAGCCTGAACATTATTTGTATGGATTTATGGAGATGTGAAAGCTTAAAGTAATGTTTCAGAACTAACAAATGTGGGTAGATGTGACTTGTAAAAAAAAGAAAGAAAGAAATCAGCAACAAGCTGATCATATACCGGAACAACAAAGACTGGAGGATTAAGGCAGTCAGGGAAGATGAAAGTGTAGGCAAGTTAGCGGGGGTGGGGAGGGGAGCGTGAGCTTGCGAGGCGTTCCGAAACAGGTTGCACACACACAAAAATGTTTAAAAGATTTGCCCGTGTGATTTCCTCCAACCAATCGAGAGATCACAGGCCTGCAAATGCTTACAAGCGCTCTTTTTTGATCTTTACAAGCCACAAATATTAAGTGAAACACCTTCCTTCGGCCTCCTACAACCTTTAATGGCGGCGGGAGAAGGGGGGAAGAGAGAGAGATATTCCCTTGAAATGGTTTCAAAGCAATGAATTTGGCAAATAAATGTGAAAAGCTATTCCAGAAGTGTTGGATCCTCACATGAAATACTAAGTTAATTAGTAGCTCTCCCCCCTCCTCAAAATGAACTGACACCCTTAAAGAACTAAGGGATTTCTTCCTTGTTCTGGACACCCACATTCCCCCCCCCCACCTTGTTTGAACAATTCCAAGAAGTGATAACTCTGGAGTCTTAAGCATTGTGCTGACAGTCAGCTGTCATTCATTGTCCTTTCGTCTGACAACCCCAGGCATTCAGGCCTGGATTCATGAGTTTTCCCTTTCTCTCGATTTTTAAAAGGAGCTGGGGGATGGGTGAGTATATCAGAGGATTCAGCTGTGAATAGACTTTTGTTTTTCTCTTTCTTTTGCCTCCTGACTGTGTCAAATGCAGTGTGTCTCTCATGCAGTTTCCCTCTTTAGAGAGCCTTGCCTGGGCCAGCTAGTTAGTATTCAGAAACAAGCGAAAGAGGATAAAATCCTTCTCTCCGGCTTGCTGAGACTGCAAATAAGCACTTAGACTAAAAAGTGGCGTAGGGGGTGGGAGGGAAGAGAAGACTTTTGCAGCCCTTGTTGTTGACTGGGACCTGCCAATATATTCTCCCTCCAAATGGCATAAAAGAGAAATATCTAGGCAGTAGGAGGGATAGATGACAGTTAATACACTTGTAGTGTATTTGCTCGAAGACAGCTTACTTGTGCGCTGTACTCTGAACTGTAGGATTTGCCATTTAATCTTGTTTACTTATTGTAATGAGAATCAAATGGGGAAGTTAGCAGTGGAAATGAAAAATTCATCCTTTCCCCGCATGTAATAGAGTCAGTGCTCAGAAAGGCACAGATCAAAGTAGTCAGGGCTCTCGTTCCTATTTCATTTCTTGCTGAAACTCCCTCTCAGAATATATCAACCACTTTCCCCCTTTCTGGGGCTTAATAGTAAGGGAATATGATTTTTTTTCCCCCCAGAAGGACAACATGCTGAAGAAAAGTAGTTCATGGTGCTGTGAGACCTGGGCTGAAATCCCTGCTAGTCAGTTGTTGGGAAGAATTGAGCTTAACGCTCAGGCATCCCAAAACTAAAAGTATTCTAGTGTATTGTTGCTTCTACCAGTGCAAACTAGTTAACTTCCTAGTCTGACTAGTGGTGCTCTCAGGGTAGGAATTGGGGGTGTCAGCAGAGTGAGGTGTAAGGCTCCCAAACAGGCTTTAACCCATTTAGACGTGAGGTAGAACACACTGATATCTAAAGAAGCCCCCGCCATATAAGAAAAGTAGGTTCAGAGTCTAAAATCACCTAATTGCACCAATGATATTGGCCTAATATTTATATAGCATGTTCAAAAAGTCCACACACATCATCTCAGTAATCTTTCCAAGAACCCTCTAATGTAGACCAACCTCATAATCTGCATGTGGGGGTGGTGTAGATGCAGTGCAGACATGCAAAGATAGGGCCAAACTAGACAATAGTGATTACATTTAACGCATCTGGATTGTTCATTTTAACAACAGCTGCAAACGGCCCTACCACAGTCCTGACACCCACAAAAATCGCCCTTCCCAAAACTGCTATTTATCTCAGAAGCTGAGACTGATGCCAATGGAAGCTTCCTGGTGAACAGGGAGAGTTTATTTCTTGTGAGGACTATGGCAGAGAGAAAGTTTAAAAAACACAAACAGCCTTTCCCCATACACCAGTCTTAACAAAGCCACCCAAACACACACACAGCACAATACAGCACAACATGTAGCTCTTTTTTAAAAAGGAGTGCACACACCCCTCAAAAGTCCTATATTTTATTTATTTGCATTTTCACCCTACCTTCCTTCCATCCTGGAACCCAAGTGCCATTCACGTGGTTCTCAGGAGCTCATCCATCCCAGCATTGACAAACCCAGACCTCTTTAGCTTCAGCAAGGCCACATGATCCTTCAGACTAGTTTGGTCCAAGGTGGCCTATTGAAGCTTGTGGAAGAAAACTCATGATTGAGGTAGCAATTGAGCCAGGAATTTTCCAGCTGCTCTTTGCAGCATTCTACGCTACTTCTCTTTTTTTGCCACCCTGTGATCCATTCTGGGTGAAGTGCTTGACACTCAGGATTCATAGTTTTGAGTTCATTCCTCCATTTTATATACTTGCAGTAGTGAACTAGTCAGTGCCAGAAGGGATATTGATCCATGTGACTTGGCATGTTTCCAGGTAGGGTTACTGTCCCCTTCTCCTGTCCCTTCCAGAGACTCTCTTTGCCCACATCTAGAGCGCAGTCAGTCATACAACCCTAAACTGGTGCAAGATGCGGTGTGTTAGGCACACCACCAACTCGTAATGCTGCATAGTGATGTAAAAACCCTTGCAGCCAATTCTGTCCAACTTTTTTGCCTTGGCACAGCAGATCCTAGGACTAAGCCTCATCCTCTATCCTTAAAATGGGGAAGTGTTGTTATGTCAGCAAGTAAGGTATAGATTGCAAACCATTTTGCTTATTAATGGTGCTATGATAACACTTACCTTCTGTGCTCATAACTCACCCTCCCATCACTTTTCGCATTTATCAAATTATTTCCCCATTTTGCTAATGAAAAGTTGCACTCACTTTCCTTTTTGCTTTTCAGTTGGCACCTTCTACACTTCCTTTCCCGCTTGGCCCTTATAAATACATCCAGGATGCTAGTATATTTTCTCTCCTCTGCTAACTTCTTTCCTGGTATCTATTAGAAGCTGGTAAGACAAAAGCACTTGATTGCAAACCAGCTGGGTGTAGTTGAGGTTACTATTTTGAAAGATATAATTTATCTTTAAATTGCACATAATCTAATTGTATGTGCACTGCCTACATCATTGTTCTTCCCTGACAACTGTAACAAAGAAACAGTGGGCACAATCTAACAGGATGGTCCTCTCCGCCAGACTTTCCCAACCTGGTGCCCTGCTGATGCTTTGAGCTAAAATGCCCACCAGTCCTAGTCTGCATAGCTGTGCTGGCTAGGGTGAAGGCAAGTGCAGTCTAAAACATCTGGAATGAATGTGAGCAGTGCAAGATCACACTATCGTTCTTGCACAGGTCATCTGTTGGGCTTGTGTAGAAGAACTTCACCTTGGGTTGTGCCCATTTATCGCACTGGATTGTGCCTAGCAGTGAAACAAAAATAAAGGAACCTAAATTTAGAACTGAATTATAGGGGAAGCTGGATTTCCATGCTCCCCAAAGAGTGACACCTTGGGTTGATCTTTCAGAGGAGTTCAAAAGTGTCATGAAAGTGTTCACTTAGCCAGTTGACTTAGCTACAGGACGTAACCTCTGCCCACACCTGATTCACCTGCCTTCAGTGACATCACAAAACAGCCAGATCTGATTGGCTGTGAGGTGCCATGACACCATCAGGCTCCCTGTGTGGCACCCTGATTGGCTCAAGGATCAAGAAGAAGCCCCAGCAAAAAAAGGGGGGGGAGATATATACACCAAAACAGTCCCAGTCAGTGGTGCTATCAGGGCAGGACTTGGGGACAGAGGTCTAGGGCTGTCCTCACCAGAGCTGGCACAGTATGTTTTGAAGTAAGTGAAGTAATACACATTATTATCTTCAAAATGTCTTTGATCATTACGTACAGTGTCTTAAATAACTTAAGTGTGCCAGTAAGAGGAAAGGAGAGCTACAAATCACTGCAGACTATTTGGGGGGGGTGTGGGTTATTTCAGGGAGCTGCAACCCCTCAAACCCCATTTTACTTCAATTGCTTTCAAGAACGAAAATTGCGTGAAGCACTCCTTAAATATAATAGTTTCTATGCTACTGAATCCTTCTGCATGTTCTCTATTCTGCTAAATGGTAACGTTCTCTGTTCTGCTACATGGCAATTAAACAATGTTTGTTGAATTGTTTAATGATAAAATAAAATTCTGTGGTAACCAGACAGAGCCACATATGCCAACACAGGTACTTAACTTTTTTTGTGACTGATACATTATGCCTCCCATGTCTACCTTAAGGCTTTATCTCACTGCTTTTGAAGTAAATGGGAGTTTAAGTGGGCTTTTAACTGAAGAGCATCTGTGCTCAGCCCTGGAGTATCATCAACACTCACAACTCCTGCAGTTTGTAAGCTCTAACCTGCCGTGTAGCTGTGGCTGATCCAAAGCTCAGACTTCTAGCCATCTAAGCTTTATTGAATTGAGGGAATTAAGGTGGGAAATGAGTACAAACAGGTGGAGAGAGTCAAACATCACAGATAGGCTTTGCTACCAAGCATTTGGGAGCCAGGCTGGTAGCTGACTGAGGAGGAGGTGTTGTTGTGGGACAAATGCCCTTTATCCAGAACTGGGCTACAACAGCCCTACAAGCTGATTGCTAAACAGGTGATCACTGCTACCTCCCACAGTACAGATCAGGTATGGTCGAAACTAAGAAATTATCATTGGAAAGAACTTAGTATTTCCCCCCTCCCCGATCCATTATTTAATTTGACATAAGTAGCCATTGCCTATAGTTGCCAAATAAAATGCTGTTTTGACTTACTAAGCTCCGTAACTTCAGTCTGGTCCACAATCATGGATAAAGGAATGCTTCTGCACTCAGCTCTTCTTGTGGGCATATCATAGGAATCTTGTTGACCACTGTGAGAACAGGATGCTGCAATAGATGGGCCTCTGAACTGGCATCCTTATGGGTGACTCTGCAGTGCCATCTCCCCACTGCAAGGCAGGGGATAATGGAAGCATTGGTGGTGAAAGGTCCAGTGAATACTGGGATTTGGAATCTTCGCAAGTTTGATGCATTTGAGATTTGAGGCTTACCAAATTTGTATTAACCTATTATCAACTGGATTTTTAGTTTGTGATGGCTACATAGAATCATCTCTTGGTGCAAAGAGATCTGCAGTCTGAGACCTGCTGGCTTCTGCAGAAAAGGAATAACCATTGCTGTCTTGATTTTATAGCATACTAGAAGTACTTTGTAGAGCGCTTTGAATATGTACTGTAACAGGATATATACTGTACATATTTTATGTTAACAATTATTTGCAAAAAACTTTGCAAGACCTGTAAGCAAATCACAGTAAATTTACAGGAGAGGAAACCAAGTTTAGGGGGAAATGAATGAGATTTGCCTGGCTTTGAAAACCTGTTGAAAGACAACATATCATCTCCAGACTCAGGATGAGGGATTGATGGGACTTCTGCTCCAACCCTAAACAAATATGAAACAAACACATGAAAAAAAGAATGGCATCATAGAGAGATGGGAGATCTGTGGTCATCCAGATGTTTCTGAACTACAGCTCCCATCAGCCCCAGCCAGCATGGAGAGCGATCAGGGATGATGGGACCTGTACTTCAACAGCATCTGGAGGGCCACAGGTACCCCAGCACTGACATAATCCATCACTGCCTTGTTAAAGAAAATGTATGGGAGGGGCAGAGGATACACACACACACACACACACACACACACACACAAACTTCAATTTATGTAGGTACAAATACACAGAGAGAACCGTTTAATGGAGAATAGCTCCTTATCTGTAACTCACTTTACAAGGCAACTATTAGTTCTTGTTATCAGAGGTTTTGCAGAATCTTCATATTCTGCTAAAAGCTATATATAGGATTAGGTTTTATTCTATCTAATCAGATGTTTTCTATGTAACTTGGATTTTTGTTGTTGTTGGTTTTTTTACATATCACTACAGTGTTTGTTTTGCAGTTTTAAAATCATGCCACCTACATTTTTTTATCTGTGTCCTGCCATGTAATAATAATAATAAATCAATGAGGTTAAACTGTGAAAAGTCAACGCCTTTTTCTTCTCTTCACAAAGCATTTTGCAGTAGGTGGCCAAGTATTTAAGCCATTTTGACTTCGTGTCAACTATCCCAGATATGCATGGGTAAGAAGAAGGAAAGGCTGTACTTCATTATTTGCAGCAATGAATTGACATGAAAGAAAACATTTTAAAGAGCCCAGTGACTTCATTTTCTTTGTGTGCTGAATATCAGGGGTTCCATACCATGAATGTTTTGCCTATGTAATGCATAATGAATTCATTGATAAGCTATGCACAAATTTTATGCTAGGAGGAGAGCAGTTGCACTGAAATTTCGGACTCCTCGGAAGATAGAGAATCAACCCACACATTTCCACTATAACCAAGTTTAGACACATTGAAGTCAGATTCTTGCCATTGGCTTCTGCAGAATTAAGGTTAAACTGGGAGCAAGTCCCACTGACCTCGAAAAGACTTATTTCTCAGTAGTGATGTATAGGATTTCACTGGAAATCAATTCTATCCAAGCACAGTGGCTTAACTATCATTTTTTTGTTTTGTTTTGTTTTCAGATTGTTTATTTTCCACTGTGTTCAGGAATAGTCTCATGCTGTTTCTGACAAGATGCATAAATGATGACGGCCCTTGTGTCTCAGAACTGGACTCAGGTAGGCCTGGACAGGGAGCTACAGATGGGCAGGAAACTTAGAAGCTGCCTGCTGTGTGCTACATCTGCCACAGCTCACATGATAGGCATACCAGGAGAAGGAAGGTACAAAGGAAGACAGAAGGCAAGTCCCACCTCTGCACAGTGCTACTGTCAGAGCAAACCTTTTCAAGCCAGAGTCGTTGCCCCAAGAAACTATCTCTATAAGAGGTGACTTCAGACAGATGGAGAGTCTGTGGCTCTGCTCATGTTGCTGGACTCCATAACCCATTAGCCCCAGCCAACATGGTCAATAGACTGAAGTTATGGCAGTTATTGACCAACAACATTTGGACGGCGAGAGTTTCCTCATCTCTGCTGATGGAGAAATGTGTGAGGGAGTAGTCAGGTGAGCTAAAGGCCATGAGAGGGATGTCTGATGGAACCCCACCGTAATCCTTGCCCATATCCCCTCATTGTGAATTGTTGCAAGCCTCTCTGCATGAAGCTAGTGCCTAGAGAAGAGTTGTACTGAGAGAGAATCAGAAACGTGCAGCCATTAAAACAAAAATACTGATATAGTTGTCTCCCAGAAGATGTCTTTGTTTAAGACTTCTCCAGTCACAACATGACTGCCAGATCACCTAACAAAAACTGGGTCCCCCCCCCTTTGCGAAGCAGAGCTTATCCTGTGTTTCCAGCTTGTCATAGAGTCTGCAATTCTTTTGTATATTTTTGTGGTGCTTTTGACATTCAGAAACAACCTCAACCCATGCAGCAAACGGCAGTTAGAAAAAGTGCAGCCAGGGAGTTAAAATATTCTCTTGACTTCTTCTTCTTCTTTTTTTTTAGATATTTTGAAAGCACCAACCTAAGCACGTCCACAGGATTTTTTTTTATTAGCAATGTCTAAAAATATTTGGAGGTGAGCCCTCTCCTCCTGTAATAGCCTAAAAGAGCTGACGTGTTATCACATATGGTTGAAATGTCTTTATCTGGTTAGCTTCATGCCTGTTTGAGAAGTGTGGGGAGTTCAGTTTCCATCTGTGTGTGTGCCCAAAAGGTTACTGAGTGTCAGATGTCGGGGCTCAGACTAGGTCAATCAGGGATGCAGAAATGTGCAAAAAAATGATAAATGGCTTCAGAGGAGAGGGGAAAGCGCAAAACCAAAGCTTCTGTAATAAGCAATCTTTTAAGCAGCCCCCTTCAAGGTCAGCATGGTGTAGAACCGCTGTGCTTTTATGGAAAATGGTTACTCTATATATAAACTGGAACATTATAAAGTGGAAAATTAGGAAAAGCTGGTGGGAGAATGATATTCTTAGAGAATTCATCTTCTGCTATCCACTAAGAATGATATGCTTAAAAGTTCCTCCATGGTTAACTATGCTCAGAATCCCAGTTCTGATTGGATGCTAATAGGAGCAATTGTGGCCTGATCATAATGGGATGCATTGTCCGCTGCTGCCTAAGGCATAGTATTTTGTACCTCCCAAATGAGGAATGAGGCAGAATAAGACAAAATATGAGGATCTCAAGACAATGATTGCTCTAGAAATAACACCAGGCTATGGTCAAGACCTTGCAATTTGCAACCAAGCCATATGACAGCACAGTCAGATCAGCACAAAACAATGCCATACAAACCCACTACGGACACAGATTGAGAAAGAGTGGCGAATGTCAGTGCCACCATGGCTCCTGTATCATAGAGAAGTATGGGACTGTGACTGGTTCAGCGATGACCCAAGGCTGCTGACTGTTCCCATTAGCTCAGCTATGTATTGGTATCCAGCAATCAGAATGAACTGCTGTGTAGTTCACATAGGTCACAAAACAAGGATCAGGACTATTCCAGATGTTGTGCAGATGCTAGTGCACTGTTTGGATGGGGGGTGGTTGTGGCTATATAGTATTAACTATAGTATGTCTATGGACTTACCCTGTGAGGACAGGGTATTCAGCTAAATATTCAGCTAAATCCTACTCATGAACCTAAGTTGGTTGTGAATTTTAGCTTCAATAGGTTCACTCAGCATAGAACGTGGAATGTGATTCGCAATGCCTGATGGATGGATCTTTAGTGTGGTCCACAAGGGCTCTTCCACCAGTGACTGGGACAGTTGCGTGGAATTTGTGGCTCAGTTGCACAATGGCACAAAGTTGATTTGCACATGAACCATGGACCAAACAATATGTATGTGTTCTTTCATCACGGTAGGAATAGCACTGGAAGTGATGTGCTAATAAGCTCTTAGCATGGAGAACAACAACAGCCGCATGGGTTCAGAGTCAGTACTGACTAGCAGTGGCTCTCCAGGGTTTCAAACAGGGATCTTCCCAGCCTTACTGGGACCTTCTGCATGAAAAGCAGATGCTAGCAAGAATAAGGGAAACCCCAGTTGATGAGTATGACTTGCAGCATGGGACTGTGCACCAGCATTTATCATTTTAGAAACTGAGCACTGCATGTACCAACACGACCATTTCTATCCCTAAAGCAACTAGGCAAAAAGGAAAAAAGAACTCTGCTCAATTAGACCCTGTTGTTACTTTTAATGAGGACTGTTACAGAGTAATTGGAAACATATGTTCCAAGTGACTACAAAACTGAACAATATTTTTTTTCTGCCTAATCTTTAGATTGAAATCTTATGGATTATTATTACAGCAAAATTCAAGGAAGCCTAGATGACTATGGCTGATTACTTACTCTTTTCACTTTTTTTTGTAATCTATAGACAATAGATTGAATGACCTGCATGGACATAATGGGACAAAATTCAATAGCTCATCTGCTGGTGATCTTGGTGTTCATTTTCTATTTTTATTTTTTTTTAAAAAAAAAATCTAGTCCTCACAGTGGCATAGTAAAACCAAAAAGAGAGGAGCTAGAAGGTTGGGTTTTTTAGGACAGTTTGTGGGATTTCCCCTCAAAAAATAGAAAATAGAAAATCTGTTCCTGTCTTCAAGGAATAAAAACACATCCTTTTTTTCAGGGCCTTCCCAGAAGTCACAGTGTTCATATAGGGACTGTAAGGTAAAAGGTAAAGGACCCCTGGATGGTTAAGTCCAGTCAAAGGTGACTATGGGGTGCAGCTTAGACCACAGCGCCACCACATTCTTTACCTTTACCTTATAGGGACTGTATATGTACACACACACACACACACACACACACACACTCAGAATCGGTTATTTCAAACCTCCTGTGCAGTGCTATTTTTCTAAAAAAAACAGGTGTCAGAACTCATCATGAATGCCTTCCTCTTTCTCTTAGACTGGCAATGGCACCCACCTGAGAGCTGCCAGAAGTCACCTGAGACGTTTCAGAACTCACCGGAGAGGTGCCAAAACTGAGTTCCAGCGAGTTCCCCTGAAAAAAAAGCCCTGCTCCTATTTATGACTAACAAGCACTACAGCTAAGCTCTCTTCAGGCATTCCAAAGAAATGGGAGTGCTCACACTGCCTATGTGCCTGGGGATGTGTGGTCCAGCCCTACCCCAAATGTCCTTGTGGTGATTCCCATGCTTGGAATGTTGGGTCAGGATCTGGGAAGCCAGGATTCATATCCATGAAGCTCCTGGGTTGACCTTGGACCATTCACTGCCCCGTAGCCTAACCTTTATCACGATGCTGTTATAAGAATAAGACCGGGAGTCTCTGAGCTCCTTGGAGAGAAAGTAGGATGTAAAAGTAATAATTAATAAATAAAATGTCAGGTCCAGCTCCTCCTCTACCACCATTAATGCACTGAGCATGAGAGCTTGCAGGGAGAGTCTAACCGCAGTCACAGCTAAAATCTCCCTGCAGCTGTTGTGCTCAACACATGAAAGGTCAGGAGAGGAAATGGAGGGGCAGTGCGCATGGGGGTGTTTGAAACCTCACATGTCCTTTTGAACAGAGCCTTAGTACTAAGGAGGTTGCATAGATAGTTTATTTCCAGAAGAAGGGTAATGAGAGAGAGAGAGAGAGAGAGAGAGAGAGAGAGAGAGAGAGAGAGAGAGATCTTTTATATGAAACACTGGGGAAAGGGAGAAAAGGAGGCAAGATTCTGGGACTCTGAGATCTCTAAGAAATCCAGAGCAGACCCTAGTAATGGGAAAGGCATCACTAGGCCAGAACCATGGTTCTGCTTCTTCGGCCCCTCAAAGTAGATGGAAAGAATTGCCACAGCTCCATAAATGACGCATTCCTGGTTGGAGCATTCACAAAGAGGCAGGCAGAGCTCATCTGGAAATCCAAGGCAGGCTGGAAGCAAAACTTTTTTCCAGTATTATTATCCTGTTTGCATGTGCCTAATTAGTATATGTCCTCCTGAATGCTGCCCTCCTTCACCAGCCACAGCCTGAATGCATTGATATTGTCTCCTTAAAAGTTCAGAACCCCCCAGTGACAGGAATATTAATGCACCAACCCTGACATATCTGTTTCAGCTCATACATATGCAATGTCTTTGTTTTCAGAGATTTATGTCAGACTTTGCTGGAGTGAGGTATTCTACCATTTTAGATAATAGCATGCCAAAGTGATGTTATCAGGCACATTCGCTACTCACTCAGGCAAACGAGAGAAGCTTCCCTTCCCTTCCTTCCCAGCTTCGGCACGCAGAAACTGTTATTTATCCTTATTTGATGAAATCTTTCTGGGGGAAATGGTATATTTTTAGAAGAAGATTATGGTCATCCTGTGGATTATCTTTTAATTAAGAATGGATGATTTGTGCCCACTCTGCTGTAGCAAACGTCTTGCTGCTAATGAAGTTTAAACAGACTTACTTTATTTAATTATGGCTAATCACTAGGGTAAAATGTGGAATTGTCTTTGATCCACATGTAGACTGGTAATCCTTGTGGCAGATAGCATCTTGTATTCCTTCAAACTTTTTTTTTAAAGTTTCTCCAGGAGGTCCCGGCTCAAGGAAGGGTTAATTGAGATAGCTGGACTTGCGTGATTGATATTTTCTCTCCCCCCCCCTTCTTTTTCCCAAGGACGGTCCTTCCCTTCTCTTCCTCTGCCTGCCTCTCTCTCTCTCTCTCTCTCTCTCTCTCTCTCTCTCCATGCATTCACCTTCAGGCCTTGTAATATAGTAGATAGCTGCTTGTTTGACAAAAGGGACCTGAGGGGGCCGAGGGCCTGCTGGATCCAGGAGAGAAAAAACAGAAACGGCTGGAAAGAAAGCAGGGAGTGAGGAGAGGGCAGTAGAGACCAGTGTCAAGCAGAAGAGGGCACTAGTTAACTGACCTATTTCAGCCACCGACTCTTATCCAGCAGCTCAAAACAACTGTTTTCTGCATGGGGCAGTAATACAATTTCCCTCCCTGCAAAACACATGTTTATAACATAAATGACACGACTGAGCATTTGATTATTTGAGCGTATCTTACAAGTTTCTGGTAAGGCATTTGATTGTCTATCTGGCTTGGTCTCCCACCCCCACCCAAACAATGAGTAAAAGAATTTATAATAGAATAAGTAGTTCAGTGAAGAAATGCAATTCCAACTTATATCTGAGTAGTGTGGGGGTTAGCACCCCCTCCCCCTGACCTACGTTTTTTATGTGAGGGAGAAGGATTGCCCAGCCATCACTGTAACGCCAGACAATATTATTACAGGAAATATTCCTGCTGCAGAGGACAGAGGTTTCTCAGCTCTCAAGCCACTAAACCCAGTTTAGTGGGAATGATAAAATGAATTGTGGGTGGGTATTACACAACAGACCTTCCAGACAGTCACAATATTTTTGGTAGGAGGGGGTAATTTAAGTGCATATTTAGTTTAGCAGTCCTTACCCTATATACTGTACCTACAGTATGAACCCAAGCAATCTAGGGGGGGGGGGGGTTAAAATAATTATTGAACTTGCCAAGCACACATTCCAGACCCCAGTTTTTCCAAAAGTATATGCTATTAAGATTAAAAGAAAGATTCGAAAAAGACAAATGAACAAAACAGAACACAGAAACCAGTGGAACTCTGTGACTCAAGCCCAACGGATCCTAAGCTATTTACTTTTAACATAGCAACAAATAAATAAATAAATAAATAAATAAATAAATAAAGCAACAAATATAGTTACTGGTTTCCCGATGGTCCTTGTTGGACGATGGGCTCCTGATGGTACGAAGGGGACGACAGCTTGTGTTCAACAGCTCACCTTTAAGGGCTCTATCCATGGGCATAGCCGGGGGGGTAGGGGGCAGCTGTCTCCCCCTAAATCAAGAAAAATCAATACAAATACAAACCTGAGGTTCTTCCCCTCCTAACAAAAGCCTGCGCCCTTAAAAAAAACACACACCCTAACAAAAATCCTAGCTACGCCCATGGATCTATCCCAGATACTGGTTTGAGTGACAATTGCTATTCAATGACCAATCAGACCCCATGTCACGTTTTGCTGATAAAAAGGGTCTGACACCCACTGGGGAGTGAGGGATTGCTAGACACTGGGATCAGAGGAGTGGGACTACCTGCTTACCTTTCTTGAGGTGGACTCCCATTCCTAACTCTCCATGGCTGGATCTATTCTAGACACATCAAAGAAGTGTTTCAGGAAAACACGTTGTGAACTTTATATGAGAAATCACATTGGCAAAAACGGAACTCAACAGCGCCATTTGATGTCACAGTGTTATAATGCATATACAACACATATAAAACACTTTTTCTTTACCAATCTAGCTGAAGTCTCTTGTCTCTAAACCAGGAAGTGATCCTCATTGTTTACAAGGATCATTCTTTTAGGGGTGGGGCATGCAAGGATTGACAGCAGGTTTGCAGCAGGGCAAGCTGCCAGACATGAGTATGCAATGTTCCAGCTCAGAGGCACATCCAAAGTCTTTCAGCAAACTACCCTGCTGAAGACCCACGGAAAAGCCTTGGGGTGGGGCCAGCACGGGGTGCAACAGCAGGGTGAGTACATACACCCTCACTCTTCTCCCTCACAGAATTGTCATTGCAAAGTTGTGAGTCATTGCACAGGACTTGTGAGCTCCCCTTTCTAGTGCCAGAATTTGGATCTTCAGATATATGGCAAGGTGATTATCCATCCACAGCAAAGTTAATCCCCTTCCTTACCTGAAGTTAGGGATATAGATCACTTGATTTGACTTGTGCAAGCAAAGAAATAATGGAACTATCCTTATGGGGGCTGAATTTGCTTGCATTTGTATCACTTGTAAACCTTCCTAGGTTTACAAATCGTGGTCAGCAGAATTTCAGTAGGAGCCAAACTGCCTCTTAAGACATTGCTGTAACTTCTGCCCGCTGCAATCCAATGGATCAGCACTCTTTGATGCTTCTGTTGGAGTAACACAAATTGGCCAATTTTTCCATAGATGTCTGAGAGAGATCAGTAGCCCTAGTCATGTGCACAAAGCAATGGTGTCTGGGCACGAAGATTCTGTGTTTTCACATTCCTCCTTACTACTTTCCCTGACCAATCAGCTTTCGAAATATTCTATTTCCTCGCCGAGCTTGCAACATGTGTCTCTTTTTGAATGAATAGGACCTAACATTCACAATGCCCAACTTAGCACTCTAGCTGGTGTACACACTAAGGCCAGTCATCCAGACTGCAGTTTAAATGGGCAGTGACCACTGGGGACTAGAATTCGCTGTGTGTCTGTACTACTGAAATCCATGTGTCTCTTCCAGGCATGGGAGATTCCAGGAAGAGCCCATCTCACATGAAATGTATGTGGATTCCCACAGATACAGCCACATCTAAATGCACATGGATCTCTGGATCAGCACATATGAAGACAGCCACTCCTCAAAGTAAACAAAATGCAGATGTTTCTTCCCTGAGTCTATCTTTGTGGTTGAGTTACCACAATCACTTGTTAAACATCTGCAATTTTGTCTCTCTGCTGGGATGCATACTTTTGCTGATGTCACATCCTGATAACTTCAGTGCATTTGTGATATCTTTATAAGCGATTATTTCTGCCTCTCTCCCAAGGAGTTACTGGGGGCCCAACTTCTGGCCTGCGCCTGTGTCCCGTTTGCTAGATGGCCACAGTATATAAAAATATTGAAGCTAAACTTATCTTGCCTGTTTTTTTCTTAGAGGTGTTTTAGCTTATACTAAAATGCACACATACCTTTTCAAGTTATTTTTGACGCTAAAGTTTTAGGGACATTATCTTTTAGAAGAATCAGCATGCTTTTCTCCCTTTTGCATGGCAACAACGGCAGCATTCACATGAAAAAGGGAGCTTGTTAAACATCATGTAACACTGAATGTGCTGAATATTTTAAAGGTCAGGTATTGACAGGCTTTGAGCTGCTTATGTTTCCCTAATGACCCCAATTACATCCAAGCTGAGTAAGTAGTCAATAAACAATGGCATTAACATATGTAGAAAAAAAGTGTTTATTTTACATTTCCAAGACAATTGGCAATCTCCGGGTTTGTCACCCAAATGCTGAGGCGAGATCATGGGGTCCTTTGATGAATGAGGAGAACAAGAGAGGGGCCAGGGGTGTTAGAGACTTCAGGCCTGTCTGAGAAAGTTCAGGTTGCCTATCTCACACTATGGCAGACAAAGCGGATTTATCACTGCAATTATGCTTATGTAAATAATTCCAGGGAAGAAGATGTAACCCAGCATCTTGTTGCATAGGGTTGGCTGAATATTTAGCAGGACCCAGGGGGAAACCACGTTACTTTAAAAAGAAACTTGAACTGTGTGTTGTTGTTTTTAGTTTCTCATGAGTCGAGCATGCATATATCTTCCCGTTTATTTTTAACATGTTTCCATGGGATGAGCTTTTTTTAAAGCTTTGTTTAGGCAAAAGCAGTACTTTTCAAATCCGCTTCTAAATGCATGTGTCACACACAGAGAGAGAGAGAGAGAGAGAGAGAAAGAGAGTTTAGACATTAGAAAGCACCTATTCTATATAGAGGTGAGTGGAAAGATGTATCTAAAGGCATAAAAACAAAATATTCAAGACAGAAACAACAAAGGATTCTGTGGCACTTTAAATGTATTGTGGTATCAGCTTTGTTGGGCTAGAGCCCATTAAAGCAGATCCCTGAACTAGATGTTTGTCTAGATCTTCTTGTTCCTAACGCAGTGGGCCCTCTGACCCTTGAAAGCCTTTGCCACAATTTGTCAGCCTTTAAGGTACCACAGGGCTCACACTAGCATTACTGCTACTATTCGGGAATACAGTACAAAAATTCGCATTTGCTGAATTTTCTTCTGAAGTCACAGACTACAGCTTTAGAAGGGCAGCATGACCTTGATACACAACTTTTGCAATTATTTAGAAATGGTAAGGATACAGACAAACAAACAAAAAACCCCAGCATCAAACCAGAGAAATATACATGCCTTGAGATTTCATGGTGTACGAGATCCTGGATTGTCCCAACAACTGGCAGTTTCTTTTCAGAGCTGTTTCAAGGTGAGTTGACATGTTTGGTTTGAGTGATAGATAACCCATAATAGATCAATAGTGTGTCAGGCTGTAATGTGTGGGTTGTAACTATCCCATTGACCTCATCAGTAAACACGGTGTTGATTGGGTGATAGGCAAGGAAAACATCTTCCATTTTATTTCAAGCAGTTGATCTCACTGGGCAAACAAATGTCTATTTAGAAAACTATTTATATTTCGCCCTCCATCGTAGATGTGAATATGAAGCCATACCATCCACACTCGAGAATTTTAGCCACCTATAATTCTGAGGGCAGGCACTGTAAAAATAGAAGGTTTTCAAGGAGAAAAATGTCAGTGGTGATTTTGCGTACAGTTATGGCTTGCCGATCAGAAGGTTGGTGGTTCAGATCCCCGCAACGGGGTGAGCTCCTGTTGCTTGGTCACTGCTCTTGCCCACCTAGCACATCAAAGTGCAAGTAGATAAATAGGTACCGCTCTGGTGGGAAGGTAAACGGCGTTTCCATGTGCTGCTCTGGTTCGCCAGAAGCAGCTTAGTCATGCTGGCCAGATGACCCGGAAGCTGTCTGCAGACAAACGCCAGCTCCCTTGGCCAATAAAGCAAGATGAGCGCCGCAACCCTAGAGGCGTCTGTGACTGGACTTAACGGTCTGGGGTCCCTTTACCTTTACCTATGTAGCTATACTCTCAATGGAGTTAGTGAGATTTAAGTAGTATAAAAAGGTAAAGGGGCCCCTGACCGTTAGGTCCAGTCGTGGACGACTCTGGGGTTGCGGTGCTCATCTCGCTTTACTGGTTGAGGGAGCCGGCGTACAGCTTCCGCGTCATGTGACCAGCATGACTAAGCCACTTCTGGCGAACCAGAGCAGCGCACAGAAATGCCGTTTACCTTCCTGCCAGAGCGGTACCTATTTATCTACTTGTACTTCGTGCTTTCGAACTGCTAGGTTGGCAGGAGCAGGGACTGAGCAACGGGAGCTCACCCCATCCCATGGATTCAAACCACCGACCTTCTGATCAGAAAGCCCTAGGCTCTATGGTTTAACCCACAGCGCCACCCGCGTCCCAACTTAAGTAGTATAATTCAGTATTATTCAGGATATTTGTCGTTCTTTAAAAAATGCCTTTTGCCCATGATAGGCTGACACTCAGAAGTCAGGTATAATCAATGGCCAATAATTAATAAACATACAAATGACTAAACAAATACCATATTTTTTGCTCTATAAGACTCACTTTTCCCCTCCTAAAAAGTAAGGGGAAATTTGTGTGCGTCTTATGGAGCGAATGCAGGCTGCTCAGCTATCACAGAAGCCAGAACAGCAAGATTGCTGCTTTCACTGCGCAGCGATCCCTCTTGCTGTTCTGGCTTCTGAGATTCAGAATATTTTTTTTCTTGTTTTCCTCCTCCAAAAACTAGGTGCGTCTTGTGGTCTGGTGCATCTTATAGAGCGAAAAATACGGTAGCAGTTATATGCAGTGTTCTGGTAGGACAGCAGAACAGTAGCCATATCATGGGATACTATCTTTGTACTTCATGTTAATTGAGTCAAGAGCAGGAGCCTTGAGGGATTAATTGCCGCCGCCTTCTTCTTCTTCTTCTTCTTCTTCTTCTTCTTCTTCTTCTTATTTTATTTTTAAAATGTGAGGGTGATCTGGCTGCGACATCTGTCACCCCATTAATCGCCAGGGTTGATTCGGCTGATCTGGCTGGCTAGGCGGGTGTCCCCTTCCTCCCTCACCGCTCCATGTGCATCCCTCCCAAAGCTGCATGCTCGGTGGAAGAGGACAACCATCCCAGATAGAAGGAGTGTACCATTCTTTGGTCAAGGGTATACAATAGCTGCACTCCCCTGCTAGAACCTCCAAACCAGCTCGAGGGATTAATTGCCATATCTCCTCTCAGGTAGGCATTGGTACTCAAGCAGTGAGATGCCATACCTCACCTCTGGAAAATTAACTCCAGGAAAGGCAGGCAGCTTACCACTTATGAGGAAGCCATTGCTATGCCCCCTCACAAGTAAATTTAGGCTGTATAACAGCATGAGGCTTGAAGAGCTGGTGCAGAGGGGAGGGAAAACCAGAATTACTCAAAATGCAAAGGATTGCAACCCTTGTAGCTGAGAATGAGGAATGGTGTAGGAGTAAGCCAAAGAAAATGTCAAGAATTGTGCTCATGCAGGCAGATCCTCACATAGCCTTTCCTACTTCGTTGCAGCATCATTAGACACTGTTGAACTGCAGCGTAGGTCACGGAAGCTTTCCCCATCACATGGAGGGTCTGCTTAAATAGTGCTGCAACCCGTATTCATAGGGTGTCCTATCAAGGTGAACCCTGCCCTCTTCAGCAGGTGCTTTCAGTCTGGGAAACATCTGCTAGGCCATGTGTAGAAGAGAACATATTCCAGAGCAGGGATGGGGAACCTGTAGCACTGCAGATACTGCTGGACACCTATCATCCTTGACCACTGGTCCTGATGGAGTCCAACAATAGCTGTAGGGCCAAGGTTTCCCATCCCTCTTTCAGTCCAATCCTTCGGGCAGCAGAATCAGGTGCGGCCCCTCCCTCTTGTGCAACAGCATTGTGGACCACCATGTGCAGCAGGACAAGTGATGTTAGAACAACCCCATGGTGACCCAAGATTGTGTTTAGTTGTTTGTTTGTCTGGGTTGGGATTCTCTCTTGCTGCTGGTTAAAATGAAAGGGGTTGGCATGGAGCTGTGTATAATTTTAAAGTTTGTTGCAGAATGTTGCCGAGCAGTAGCAACACCTCCAGGTATGAGGCTGGGGTAGAGACATTATGGTCTATGAGGCTGAACTAGCAAAATATTCAAGGTGGATATTGTGTGAATACAGGGAGGGCTTCTATATTACAGCATGTTTTGGGGCATAAAAATCACAATGCAAATCCTGTGGGATCCTTGTGAGTCAGGATCAGGCTCCCAAATGTCCGGAAGTCCAGATGTTGCCCTCTTTGTACCTGCAGCATGTCTCTCTCTCTCTCACACACACACACACACATACACACATATTGTAGCTAGTGGCAACAGTTCACTTATCAAAGTAAAGGGATCTATTAGGGCATAATGGGAGTTAAAAACTTGCTTCCTGTCCCTGATGAGCCCAGTCATTGAGAAGCAAGCTTTTTGGCTACATCTGCCGGGCCTCTGTTTCGTCATCACACAGCCTTAAGATCCAAGAGGCATTCAGATACCCCACATGTACTTGGGGAGGGGGGGTAAATGGAGAGGGATGCCTAGCCCCAGCCTCCGTCACCATGTCTCTGCCTTCTGTGTGTTTGGAATGCATCAGAAGGAGCTCTACGTATATAAGTAATGAGGAGGGAACCAGGCCCTTGTGCAAAGGAACTTGATATGTGAACATCAGAATGTGCATGGGGCCTTTTCTGACATGCTCCGGACATATGGAGGGTGGCAGAGCCCCTTACACGTTATTTCAAGAACTGGGGAACATCTAGACCCTTTAAATTGATCAACAGGGAGAGAGAGAGAGAGAGAAGGGAGGGAGGAGCTCCTGGTCAATCTATTCTGCACTTGCCACAGTTTGTTTCTGATGGGAAACAGTTTCACAAAGGTCTAACTAATACAGGCTTATATTATACATTGAAATATTAAATTTAAAACTTGTTTGTTCCTAAAAACAGCAAGAAGCAACCACTTATGGTACCATGTTACATCCACATAGGGGCTGGGTCATCTATATATATATAAAAAAAAGATTCAAATTTAAGCCCAGGCCAGACTCCTTTTTTCAAACAGTGGTTTTAGCCAGACTTGCTGTTGCCACTGATGATTGAAACTCGATTGCTTTCCTAATTCTACCCCAAGCTAGCAGAGAGAGTTAGAAGAATATGCTAGTCTGGCAGGAGGCGAGATCCCTGTCACTCAAGGTCTCCCTGATCAACATTTAAAGGGAGAGTATTTTTCAAATAAACTTGGAGCATCAAAATGTTTATTGGCACTAAAAGGCAGGTAGCGCAGAACGGCTTGCATTTTCCCTGAAATGACAGTTCAAAGATGGCATTTTTGTTGTCAGTCACACAAAGCGGTTCCTCCACCCAGCCCCCAGCTTTAGCCTTATTAGAAGCTAATTTGAAAGAGATGTAGACTAGAGATCAGAGCAACAGCTGTGGTCCACATCCATGAACACGGCTGTGGACATCCGTCTGTGCAGCTTGGGGGGGGGGAAGGGTAGTTGGGGGTGGCAAATTTAGCCATCACACTGCCCATATGGCTGCCACAGGAGCAGTAGGGTATGAAGGTCACAAACAAAGTCACACTCTGCCTTGCCTTTGTTTATAAAAATGCCCTTGCATTCAATGCATGGTCCTGCCATTGCTGAGATGCTGCAACCCCGGGGTGTCACTTAAGGCCTAGTTTCATTAAGGCTCTTGAACCTTATCATGTTACACTTCAGAAAGAGTGACCAGCTTATTTAAAACAAAGAAGCTCTGACCTTTCTCCCCTTTTGAAACTAAAAACAGATGAGGCTAAAGTGACTCATTTCCGGCTTTAAACAAGCTCTAAAAAATACTTTCCATGTACAGTTGGTAAGCTTTTTCAGCTCTCCCCCCCTTTTCTTTTTCTTCCTCTCCTTCTTTGCATAAATATCTCATTCCTTCTCTCTCTTTTTGTCAAGGTCAACATATTTATTACTTGTATTCATGGTGTAGTCCTTTTTTCTTCCTTCGAGCTCTCTTTCTCTCTCTTCTTTTTTATTTTTTATCTGTGTTGTTTATAACCATGACCCTTGATCTTCCAAGTCTTAAAACAGCTTGGCTTTCAGCAGCTAAAACTGACAAGGTCAGCATTTTTCTGTTTATTCTGAGAATACTATTTACCCTCTGGGGTTTTTAAAAGCAATTCTGTAAAGCATCACTTGGAAAAAGTTTGTAACATTCACAGAGACTTCCATTAACTTCACGCACAAGAAGCAGCGAAACTTCTCGGTTTGCTGAACTCCAGAACAAAACCAACGCCCCAGCCGGGCTTTCGCAAACAATCAAATAGCTAAGTAGTGCCATAAATGCTTCAAACCCTTTTAGAGAAAAAACAATTTAGCAACACCTTATCCGTTTAAAAATTGCCTCATCTCTCTGCTGTGATTTTTCATGAAATTGGACATAACTATTTATATCACACAGCTCTCGCAGAATAACAAAAATCCTAACATGTTGTGTTAAGGGATTGCATGTTCTCTCACTTCAAATTGTCACAGCCACACTCTTAACAGACATGCTATTTAGGCACAATATTGATATGCTATGTGGTATCCTATATGTTGTGGTTAGTTCCAGCTTCCCCTTGGAGCTGGATGGCTCTCAATGGAAGATTGGTGTACCTAAGTCCCACATAAGTCTGATCACTTAAATAATCACATAGGATCTATGAATTTAAAGCTTTTACACAACTGAAGCTACCATTCCACAGGCAACCAACTGGAAACAAATACCATGCATACAGAAGATCAGTTGTGTGGTAGCCTGAGTTGCATGGACTTCATGCGTCTGTTCCAGTGAACATACAAATCTGGGGCTTTTTTCCATAACAGGGCTCCTGTGCATTTAATGGGATTGCCAACTTTTACTGGCTGCTGCCACTTCTCTGCCTGTAACAACATTCAACAACATTATCAGGGGGTCATGTTGGTTCCCAACACGACAGCTGATCTCTGCATGTTGTGTGATTATTAAAGGTATAAGAGCAGGTCCAGCTGGGAGTTTTCAGGTAACTTGTCAAGCCTAGGCTTTAAAGGCTGCAATGGAAAAACAGGAAATTCAGCAGAAAAAGAACCCACAGTTGCCTCCTCTCTTTCTCCCACTTCCTGAAGGCTCTCATATGCCTTCAGAAGCTGCCTGTCAGGAATTTGGCTGTTGTGCATCTGAGAGTCTCCCCACCCCTTTCCCTCATGCCTCCCAAACAATTTTGTTACTCATTTCCTATGATTTCTTCTCCCTGATTCCTTTTGCACTAACCTCTTGGCCTTCCTGAAATGTAAACTGTTCAAGGCTGATGCCTGGTCTGTGAGAATCCTGCCTAGCAACAACATGCTTCTAAACTTCCAGAGATGAAGACTAGCCAAAAACATTTCCCACCAACAGCAAAATAAGAAAGCCCATTGACTAAATACAGGCAAAGACCAATTTACAAGCGTCCAATTGACGTGCAAGCGCGCATATGTGACTTTTAAATAATGGCAAAAGCAGCCCTGAAAGAGCCCAGAAAGGGCAAAAATGGCCCGAAAACAGTGGCTAGCAAGGGCGCCAATTCCAATAAAATAGGAAGCCGCCCAGAGTAGCTGGGGAAACGCAGCCAGATGATGGGCGGGGTATAAATACATTATTATTATTATTATTATTATTATTATTATTATTATTATTATTTTCCAGAACACATACAGTACAAATGGAGAAGCCTTTCCAGAAACCTAGCCCAGCAAACTCTCTGGAAGAAAACACACAGGAATGGTCAACATGCTACAAAGTTTCAGATCAGTTTATTGAACCATTTCCCAGTCATATGTCATAGAATGTACTCCCTACATCCCCATTTTTCATTTAGAAATTGTGGGGTGCAATTCAGCCAACTCACCCTTATAAACATCGTGGCAATATAACTTTAGGTCTGTGAGACACATAGAAAGGTAGATGGCTAGGGCTTAAAGATAGCAAGTGGTAGTAATCAGAAAACAAACAAACTTCTGATGCTTTTGAAAAGGTTTAATATTTCTTTTCCTACCAGATATATATAATGAGCAAAAGCATCTACTGCACCAACTTCATCAACAAGAATGCAAGCAGGACAAGAGCACAAATATTCTTATTCATTCGATGCAGCTCGTGCAGGAAAACATCCTCATTAATTGTGCCTAATTTTGATTTATCAGCATTTATTTAATTGTTAAAGCAGTGGCATACCTGCAAAAACAAAAATTCAACAGAACGCTA